TTAAAAAAAAAAAGAATTTAAAAATTATTTTGGAAATGTAAAACATATACATGACTTTATTTTTTAAATAGAATTTTTATGTAGTATGTAGTTGAAAAATCTGGGAAAATTAATTACTTTTTACAAATTATGTAATAAAAGACTGGAGACTGTTGTCTTTGTCAAATGACCAATTACCATAAGGCATATACAGGACTTTAAATTCAAAAGTACATGGTCAAGGTATATTCAGTACAGTCTGTTCTACACCTGTCCCCTCCAGCTGTTTCTTCCCAACCCAAATACATTGGTAAGGGTATATTTGTTGTTTACCTATCTCACAAGAAAAAGAACACTACTCTTCTGTGTCATGGTTTGGGTGTTGTTGTTGTTGTTTTGTTGTTGTTTTTTTTTTTGTTTGTTTTTTGTGTTGTTGTTATTGTTTTAAAGCTAACCCATGCTCTGGAGCTCATGTTACATCAGTGTAAAGATGCTCTTCACTCTTTTTCAGAATTACACAGTGTGTTTCACTATATGGATCTACTCCAGTTTACTTAACCACTTCCCTACTTGTGGTTGTTTGGTTTATTTCTAATCTTTTGCAATTACAAATAATATTGCAATAAATAACCTTGTGCATACATTTTGTATTTTGGAAAGAGTTCCTAGAATTGGGATTTCTGGGTCAAAGTATAAATGCATATGTAATTTTCCTAGGGATTATCAAATTTCCTTCCATAGATGCTATGAACTATTTTACAATCTCACTGGTGATATGTGCTGTCCCTGTTCTCCACAGTCTGCAGCCCAGTAAGATGGTCAAACTCTTGGGTTGTTGATAATTTCATTACTTGCCTCCTTTTGTCATTCTCCCCCAAAATATGCCACAGTGCTTTTCAACTGCTTTTGGCGGAATTGTCTTAGCATAAACAATGGGTGATTGTGTTGAGGATGGTACAAAGAGGATGGCTGCCGTGTCCCTATCTATTTCTACTCGCCTAATCATGGAAATGCCAAAGCCCAAAGCATACATCATTCTTGTTAAGACCTTGTACTTGCAAAGGCTGGTTTAGGTTTCCAGCCAAAGAAAAGGACATTAAATATAATTTTACTTGTTTCTTTCCTTTAAAGATTTTTATTGGGATCCCTGGGTGGCGCAGCGGTTTGGCGCCTGCCTTTGGCCCAGGGCACGATCCTGGAGACCCGGGATCGAATCCCACGTCGGGGCTCCCGGTGCATGGAGCCTGCTTCTCCCTCTGCCTGTGTCTCTGCCTCTCTCTCTCTCTGTGACTATCATAAATTTAAAAAAAAAAATTAAAGATTTTTATTTACTCATTTAAGAGAGAGAGAGAGAGAGAGAGAAAGCAGAAGCAGGGGGAGGGGCAGAGGAAGAGGGAGATACAGACTCCCCAATGAGCAGGGAGTACTACGTGGGACTCAATCCCCAGGATCATGACCTAAGCCCAAGGTAGATGCTTAACCATCTGAGTCATCCAGGCATCCCCTAACTCCACTTGTTTCTAAGGTCAGCAGAATGCAGAGAGGACAGTAAATGAAATCTACTGGTACTTTACCAATGTCAGGATCCTTAGAAAAGTGGAGGAGGAACCATGACCATATTTTGTCAGCTTGCTATCTCCCAAACACTCCCAAATCCAAGGAGATGGAGAAGTCCCTGTGTATGGCTGAAAGTTTCCAGATTGTGGAGTCACCACTTTAACTCGTAGGGCTACTCATACCCAGGACCTCTTCTTTTGTTAACTTTGTGGGAGTCCATGCCATCAATAATTCTTGTTTCTTGTTCGTTTGTTTTGGTTTTGTTTGTTTTCAGCATTTCCCATTTCCCTATATTCCCATGGGTGATTTTGCTCCCAGGAGATACTTGGCACTGTCCTGAGACACACTGGGTTGTCACAACCTGGACAGGGGTACTGCTGGCTTATAGTGAGCAGAAGTCAGGGATGATGCTAAACATCCTACCACACACAGGATAGCCCTCCCTCCAAAACAAAGACTTCCATGCCCTCAAATGTCAGTAGAACCAAGGTTGAGAACCCCCGCTATATTCTTTCTTTGTGCACATATTCACAGACATCTACAAAATGACTATTACCAGTGGCAGAAGAATGACGGAGTCACAGCTACTTTCTCTCCCTGCTCCTCCAAAAGTCACAATCAACTCAGAAATCTCTGTAGTCAGAAAGACTCCAAGGAGTTATATATTTATCTGGAAGATTAAAGAATAAATACCACTTTAACCTTCTAAAAACTGATTATCATTAGGTATAATGCAACCTTTTAACTGTAAGTATAAAGGAAAGTGCTGATTATTTAAAGTAAAATGGGACCAAAGTCCCATGAATAATCAAAAACTTGGTTAATAGAGTATGACCAGAGAATAATGCATTTGGCTTCTGTGGAGAAATTAAAGTACATGCTGTGAATTGGTATTAAGAAAATTGCATGGAAAGTTGGTCTTAAGGTTCCATGATTTTGAAGAAACAGCCTCAGGTGCACAATCTATCACATTCAGTCTTTATCTCTCTTCATTTTTTCATGACTTCTTTCACCTTGGATAACCCAGAAGCTCAGGCCTTGGAACTTTTTGAAATAGTAAGGTATCTCACTCTCCACGTTTATTTGCATCTAGAACAGAGCTGAATTTTATTGCCAGGAGTTTGTTATCTCTTCCACAGGAATCATTTTCAACTTCAGCTTGCCTTACTTATTTTGTGGGCAAAGACTGCGTTTAACACTTACAACAAGCATAATTCATCTAAAATGTACCCCTGAAAAGTTATGCCTAAACTGAATTTTTGGAAATAAAATCGCATTTTTTAAAATCACAAGGAAAATTTGCCATTCAAAGGGAGTCTGAGACTAAAACATATGTAGAGAAAAGCATCTTTCTTTAAAGTGAATAATTACTCTTTAATTCGCCCTTTTTTGAAGTCTGAATTTTTATATGTAGCCAGAGTCTAGCCCAGTATTGTGTATGATACTAATTTTAAAAATATCAATCATAAATTTGAAAGCATTTTAGGGGCGCCTGGGAGGCTCCGCGATTGAGCCTCTCTGCCTTTGACTCAGGTCGTGACCCCGGGGTCCTGGGATCCAGTCCTGCGTCGGGCTCCCTGCATGGAGCCTGCCTCTGCCTCTGCCTGGGTCTCTGCCTCTCTGTGTGTGGCTCTCATGAATAAATACATAAAATCTTTCAAAAAAAAAAAATTGGAAGTCGAAGCTATTTTTTTTTAAAGACTATTTTTTTTAATTTTTATTTATTTATGATAGTCACAGAGAGAGAGAGAGAGAGAGAGGCAGAGACACAGGCAGAGGGAGAAGCAGGCTCCATGCACCGGGAGCCCCGACGTGGGATCCGATCCCGGGTCTCCAGGATCGCGCCCTGGGCCAAAGGCAGGCGCCAAACCGCTGCGCCACCCAGGGATCCCCGAAGCTATTTTTAAGAATGTAAAACTGGGTAACATATCCTTCATTATTAACACGGGTTTATGTATTTATTCGAGAGCCCGAGCAAGGGACGGGGACAGCAGATGGAGAGGGAGAAGCAAGACTCCACGCTCAGTGGGGAGCTGGGGGCTGGGCTAGATCCCGGGATTCCCCGAACACCACCTGACCCACTGAGCCACCAGGCACCCCTAACAAGGGTTGTTGTTGTTGTTGTTGTTTTTTAATACTTCTTTTGGGTGATGCGACAAGGGGCAGGATACTAGACATACCTGAAAAAAGAAGAGGCAGCATCACTTGAATGATAACCACATTGCCTGCAACGAAGAGCAGAGTGGTTGTAGCTGGTTACTTAGCATAAAGCGGTGGTTCTGGGGCGGCCTGGGTGGCTCAGCGGTTTAGTGCAGCCTGCGACCCAGGGCGTGACCCCGGAGACCCGGGATCCAGTCCTGCGTTGGGCTCCCTGCATGGATGGAGCCTGCTTCTCCCTCTGCCTCTGCCTGTGTCTCTGCCTCTCTCTCGCTCTCTCTCTCTGGATCTCTCATGAATAAATAAATAAAATCTTAAAAAAAAATTTTTTTTTTTAAAGCTGTGGTTCTGACCATGGGATTCAGGAACCAGATGTTACCTGGGGGTCACATCCCTGTCTGGTGTGGCCTTTGCCAATCTACACGATGTGGACGTGCCTCCGTCTCTTCCCACCAAAAAACCACGTTCAAATACCGGCCCTACCTCTCTAACGGGTTTTGAGGTTTTGAGGATGCAAAAGAGCTACGAAATGAGCGGCTGTCGGTGAAAAGCACTAGTTTTTGAATCCTGGGTGGCAAACCGCGCGTGTCCTTGCAAAGAAAAAAAAGAAGAGAGAGAGAGAGAGAGAGAGAGTGAGAGAGAGAGGCCGGGCGCGGGGCCTCCCTGCGCCCTGGCGGGGGCCCGAGGGCCGGCAGGTGATAGACAAAGGTCGATCGAGGGCATTCCTCGGGGGGAAAAGGGCCCTTTCTGCAGGGCCACGCCACCTGTCGTCTGGTTGGGGACTGAGGGCCCCGCGCCCAGACGTGGCGTCCGGGTGCCGAGCGGCGGGCAGCCCGCAGCTCCCTGACCTGCGCCGCCCTGCGCCGCCCTGCGCGCCCCCCGGAGGGCCCGCACCTCCGCCCCGCGCCCTCGCACCCCGACCCTCGCCCGTCACACGCATCTTCCCGCGCGCACTCGGTGAGCGGGCATGCCCTAGAGGAACCGCCGAGGCCCGAGCACCGCTCCGCAGCGCCCCCGCACCCCCACGCGACCCCACTCCCGGGAACCCCACGTCTTCCCAATTTTGGGTGCAGAGCGGAGTGGGAGGAGCTTAAGCTCTCGGCCTACACCCCCTTCGCCTTCCGGAGTTCTCCTCCGAAGCCCCGCCCGTTTCGGAGCGCTCACGACCGCGCCGTAAAGCGAGGAACATTCTTCTCCTCTCTTGAACGGCCCGCCTCTGTCTTTACGACAGACCGCATTCCGCCTCGCCAATATGGCGCCCCCCATTTAGGAGGCTGCTGTGGTGGTTTTTTTTTTTTTTTTTTTTTCTCGGTACTCAGATGGCCGGGGGGCAGTGCTGAGTTCAGACTGTTTGTGCAGCCCGAAGCGCTGGAAGCTGCCGCGAACGTTCGCTTCGGGTCACGGTTCCCGGAACTCACGGGAGGCTCAAGAGTTGCCGCTTCCCGCTAGTTCCTGCAGGTTCCTCCTCTGCCCCTGGTTTCTTCCCCGCGCCACCTCCGGACACCTCCCCGTCCCCCCCCCCCGCCCCCCTCAAGTCCCTGACACTCCCAGACTCAAACTATGAGCCTTCTTCGGAAGCTGCTGTTGCGCTTGCCCGGTTATCTTGGGGCGTCGGGTCCCCCGCGTCGCTTGTGGCGGTTCCCGCCCCTCGGTCCCGTCTCCTCGGTGGGCTCCGGGCGAGAGCGGCCGTCTAGGTCCCCGGCCCACTGGAACCAAGTGGTGTCAGAGGCGGAGAAGATTGTGGGCTACCCCACGTCCTTCATGAGCCTCCGCTGCCTGCTGAGCGACGAGCTCGGCAACATCGCTATGCAGGTGCGGAAGCTGGTGGGGACCCAGCACCCTCTGCTTACCACGGCCAGGTGAGCTACCTCTGCCCCCGGCGCACTCGCACCCCTCGAGGCCTGCTTCCGGGCTCACGCTCATGCCCGCCTCGCTCCGACGGGCTCCCTGCTCACTTCTTTTTATCCCCCCCCCCTTTTTTTTTCTCCCCTTTCCCCCTTTCCTTCGCTCTCCTGGACATTCGGTGTTGTCTCCCCTCGATTCCACTCTCCTTAACTTTCTTCCTCCACCTGCTCCGCCGAGCGGGTAAGTGGTTTTCTTTCCAGAGACACCTGTACTTCTTTTCGCGTTTCTGCTCCTTCATTAATGAGGAGCAAAGATGCCTCGGTGAATTGTGGAGAAATCGAGCAGGGATGTGGGTTTGAGTCGCTTTTCTAGAAATGGTCTTTTTTTGTTTTTTAAGATTTTATTTATTTATTCATGAGAGACACAGGCAGAGGGAGAGGGAGAAGCAGGCTCCGTGCAGGGAGCCCGACGTGGGACTCGATCCCGGGACTCCAGGATCACGCCCTGGGCTCAAGGCAGGCGCTCAACTGCTTGGGCCCCCCCGGGCTGCCCCTAGAAATAGTCTTTTAAAAAGACTGATTTTTCTGTTCCGCACTGTTCCAGGGGTCTCCTCCAGAAAGAATGGCGTGGGGGAGATAATGCCGAAGGTAGGCAGTTCTTTACAACGAGTATCCCAGGCTTAAGGCAGGTCGGTCGCTATCCTCTTGGGATTTTTATCACTTTGTGCTGGACTTCTGTGAAACTTGCCATTAGGATTTCGAGACCACAATGTATGCTTCCAGTAAAAACAAACAAGCAAAACTCCTTTTTGTTTGTAAAGGATTTCAAGCATACTGAAAAGTTGCAAGAATAAAAGTAGTAACACTCCTCATTGATTCGCCTATCCTATACATGTCCTATACATATCCTTTACATATATACCTACACATTCTCCTATCCTATACATATATACGTACAATTTACATATACATGTAAAGTACATCTTTAATGAATCATTTGAGAATAGATTACATACATCATGGTCCTTTATGCCTAGATACATCATGTATTTCCTAAGCATAGGAATATTCTTTTTTTTTTTTTTTTAAGATTTTATTTATTCATGAGAGACACGGAGAAGGAGGCAGACACACAGGCAGAGGGAGAAGCAGGCTCCCAGCGGGGAGCCCCATGCGGGGACTCAGTCCCGGGACCCCAGGATCATGCCCCGGGCCAAAGGCAGGTGCTCAACTACTGAGCCACTCAGGTGCCCCAGCATAGCAATATTCTTTATAGTAATCAATTTAAGCACATTTAATATTGCTACAATACTTTTATTAATCTACTATTGATACTCCTGATTTCTTAATTGACCCAGAAATGTTCTTTATAGTATTCTTTCTAGTACAGGATCTAGGCTAGGATCACATATTACTGTTAGTTGTCATGTCTCTTTTGTCTCCTTAAACTGGGAACGCTTCCACAGCTCTTCTTTGATTTTGTAAATAGAGCTGTAGTTCTCAGATGGGGCAATTTTGCCCCTTAGGGAACATTTGGTAGTATATGGAGATGTCATAACTGGGGCATGCCCTGGTATTTAGTAGGTACAGACCAGGGATGCTGTAAACACCCCAGTACAGCCCCTACAAGGAAGAATTAATGTACCAAGGTAAGGAAACCCTAGATAAAAATTATCTTTTTTTTCATGTTTTCTTTTTTAAAGATTTTATTTATTTATTTGAAAGAGAGAGCATGCAAGTGAGCATGAGCCTGGGGGAAGGGCAGAGGGAGAGGGAGAAGCAGACTTCCCACTGAGCAGGGAGCCCCACATGGGGCTTGATCCCAGGACCCTGAGATCATGACCCGAGCTGAAGGCAGATGCTAAACCAACTGAGCCACCCAGGCACCCCACCTGTTTTTTTTTTTTTATTTTTATTTTTTATTTATGATAGGCACACACAGAGAGAGAGAGAGGCAGAGACACAGGCAGAGGGAGAAGCAGGCTCCATGCACCGGGAGCCTGACGTGGGATTTGATCCAGGGTCTCCAGGATCGCACCCTGGGCCAAAGGCAGGCGCCAAACCGCTGCGCCACCCAGGGATCCCTGTTTTTTTTTTTTTTAAATTAAACTTTTATTTTGAGGTATTGTAGATTCACATAGTGTTGGAAGAAATAATACAGAGATCAAGTGTACCCCCTTTTTTTTTTAAAGATTTTATTTATTTATTCATGAGAGACACAGAGAGAGAGAGGCAGAGACACAAGCAGAGGGAGAGGCAGGCTCCATGAAGGGAGCGGACGTGGGACTCAATCCCGGGTCTCCAGGATCACACCCTGGGCTGAAGGCGGCGCTAAACCGCTGAGCCACCGGAGCTGCCCTCCAATGTACCCTTTACCCAGTTTCTCCCTATGGTAACGTCTTGCACAACTGTGGTACAGTATCACAGGTAGATTATTGACATTGATATGGTCAAGATGCAGAACATTTCTATCACTACAGCATCCCCTCCATTGCCCTTTTATAGCTACTCCCACTTCCCTTGCTCACACCGTTGCGATAATTTTTTATGACACAACTGTCATTTCTTTGTTACTACAGAAGTTACCAAATAGCAATAATAAAGTGATTTTACTTGTTGGCATTGTTTCCAGGCTCAGAAATGTCATCTTATGAGTAGGCTAAACTTGTCCTGTAGCTGGAATATTAATTCTCTGTAGATTTTTAGGTGATATACAGTCAACACACACACAGACACGTACTTAAATGTTTTAAAGCTTAGTAATGAATGAGCTTACTATCCAATTTAAAAACTATGACTACCAATCCTTTTGAAATTATCTGTACTCCCCAGTCCATGTCCCTGACTCCCTGTGTACTGGATTCTGTTTATTTTTCCTTTTTAAAAAATATTGGTGTTTCTCTAAATAATAACATGTTAAAATTTGCTCACTTTTGAAATTTACAAATATGGTAGCTTATTGCTTGTAGTCTGCTATGCTTACTTTTTTATTTGCAGTTGTTCCTAAGACTTATATATGTTGTGTTTAATTGTACTTCATTAGTTTTTCACTGCTGTATGAAATCCTATCATGTGACTATGCCGTAGTCATCTTTCAATCCGCATTTAGGTGGTTTGCATTTTTGTGTTATGAAAAAATGTTGTGAACGTGCTTACAAGTTTCCAGGTGTACTTGTCTTGAGAGAATAGATACAAGAGTGTATGCACATGTTCAGTTTTAGTAAATAATAGCAAATTGCTTTCCAAGGTGATTGTACCAGCTGATACTCTTGCAAGCATTGTCTGAGTTCAGGTTACACCATGTTCTCACAGTGCTAGAGCCCTGAAGTTTCTTAGTTTTTGCTAATCACATAGCGGGGTTCACTGTGTGTGGTGGGAATTGTAGTGTTAGTGGTAGAGTTTGTAGTAGTACATTGCATTGCACATATTATAGTCTTTGTAATAAAACACTGAAGTGGAAATGGCAGAGCTGGAAAAGGCCTTATTAATGTGTTATATTCTGAGGATTGTAATTCATCTACTTAGTTGCCAGAAAATCAGGTGGGGTGTTGGAGAAGATCCCTTCTGAAGCTGCCAGAGATATACTAGATGAAAGCTTGTAAGAATAATGGCTCTAAAAATTTCCTGGTTGTAGCCTGCCCCACATACCCAGTACCATACTACAGTGAAAGAAGTGGAGAGGAACAAAACAGCAAAAGTGTTATGGTAACATATACGAATTGCTTTATTGTGTGAGAAAAGAAAGAGCTAATATTGTGCATGTAGTTTTATTATACTTTGATAGTGTATCACAAATTATTTATTTAAACAGTCTGAACTCACAGGCGGTCAGTGAACAAAAAACTTTGGGGGAGGAAGTCCTATATTTACCTCTTATATAGGAGTGGAACAGGCAGTTGATCCATAGGGTAGGCCGACCATGATTATTGTAAATTACAGCTAAAAACATGGATCAAGCACTATATTTTTTCTAATGATGTACACCTTACTTTGTTGACATCTTATCAGCAAAGCATTGATAATTAAGAGGAAGATGCTGTCAGTATGTTAACCAAGGACATAAAGACCCCTTGTAGTTGATTTAGTTAGATATAGGATACTGGACTTGGTAAATTCGTTTACAGTTTCGTTTTATATTTTGAGTTTTTATTACTTAAATCAATATTTTAACCCTGAGGGTCATTTTACATTTTGTTTAAACCTACATGGTAAGTTAGAGATGAATCATGTCTAAATGCCCTAAAACTTAGGTGAAGGGTGGCATTTTTGGCAAACAGCAGGGGGGAAAAAAAAAGAAATCACCGTAATTTATTATTCACTACCTTCTCTTTCTTTACCTAAGCCATCTCATCAAGAAAAGGAGAAAGAGCCTAGAATTGTACTCTAACAGATTCAGAAGTGAGATTAAATTTAAAATCTTGGGGTGCCTGGGCGGTGTAGTCACTTAAGCCCCAGACTCTTGATTTGGACTTAGGTGGTGATCACAGGGTCCTGAGATTGAGCCTTGAATTGGCTCCACCCAGAGTCTGCTTCAGATTCTCCCCCTCTCTCTCTGTCCCTCCCACTTCTGTGTGCAAGCTTTCTCTCTCTCTCAAATAAATAAATAAATCTTTGAAGAAAGTTTAAATTTAAAATCTTGAGATTTGGTGAGCTAATGATCTGATTACTAGGAACAGTGTAGCCGTTAGCTAATTTTTACCCTGTTCTTCTAGGTTTCCTAGGATCTTTAGATTGTAAGCTCCAATTAGATTTTTTAAATCCTCAATTAATTAGCTCAATGCTTTGAAGCTTATGGAGGAATATAAAGAAGCCTAAAACATGGATCATGTTCCCTGATAAATAGACATTGTGTTGGACACAAGTATGTTTACAACAGAAGGAAGTAAATGACTTGTGGCTAATGAGTAGTGGCAGTATATTAGCTATTTCATTTAGAGATACTGAAGTGGCCTGGAACAGAAGAGAATCATTAATGAAGAAATTGAGATGTCCTTAGGATAGGTGGATAGATATTA